CCGCCCTCTCTCCTTTCCCCTCCCCTCTCTCCTCTCCTTTCCTTTTCCTTTCCCAATTGCCCTGGTGGAACCTCCAGTACTATGGTGGGAGCAAGCATCCTTGTCTTATTCCTGATCTTAGAGGGAAAGATTTAAGTCTTTCACCATTTGAGTGTGCCGTGAACTGTGGGTTTTTCATCAACACCTTTTATTGGATTGAGGAAACTCCCTTCTCTCCTAGTTTGTTGACTTCCATTTCCTCTTTTCATTCTTCTTCCTCTCTGCCTTTGATGACGACTTGGAGTGTGAGCACAAGAGAAGTGCCCCCCCACACACACACACACTTCACACGTCATCACCACTTCTCCCAGTTTTTGCTTCTGAATGAGCTGTGGGAGGAGATCAGGGGCAACAGGAGTCTGGGTTTGGATGCCCTGAAGACTCTTGGTCCAGTCATGCAGACTTCCAGTACTCGGGCTGAAGCTTGTCTCACATTGCACACACACCCCCCAGCCTGGGTCACTGTCTCCAGCACACTTAGTGCTATCCCTAAGCAGGGATACCACCAGGAAACACTTCCTGACTCAAAGTCAGAGAAGCTCGGTGCCTATCAGTGGGATTGACATTAAGTGCTGGAGCTCTAGCCCATCCTTTCAACCTGTCCAGCCCAGTGCGTCCTCAGGGGCCTAAGGGGTTGGGCAAAGCCCTGTGAACACACGGCCTGGGTCATGGCACTTGCTCAGCCTCTTTGGGCACTGTAAGTGGGCTTCAGCCAGCTACATCACCTCCTGGGCCTCGTTTCCTTCTCTTGCACGAGATTAATCACCCTCCTGCTCAGATGGGGATCAGCAAGCTGTTGTTCTTCAAGTGCCTTCTGCAAGGCCCGGTATCTGCTCAGTTCTCCATCTTCCTCCTCTTCTTGGCAAAAACTTCTCCTCCTTCTGCATCCCTGATAGTTCAAGCTGCACCCCGTCACGCTCTTTGAAGCTCTATCTTGCCCCCTTGTATGCTTGGTAGATTGGGTTTCATCCTCTTGGATCTGGGTCTTGCTTCTCACCTCTGACATTGGCCTTAGCAGCTCTTTCTTTGAACTCCATCTTCGCAGGGAGATGGGTACACAGTGACGACCCTGGCTGGCCTTCCCAGGGCCAGCCTTCAGCGCTTAGTAGTCCAGGGGCAGCCACCTTCATGGAAAAAAGGCCTGGCCAAGTCCCCAGCCCATTTTTGCTACTCTGGTGGAGTTGGAGCGGCTAGTGATGAGTCTGTCCTTTCTGTACACCCCAGGGAGGTTCGAGAGAGCAGACCTGCCTTGACCAGAGATAGTACAGCGCCTGCAGTAACAAGGGCTTATGATTTCACATCTTGGTTCTTGTCTCAATTTGTCACCTTCTTGGTTACTTCACAAGCCTCAGCTCCTTCATTTAGGAAGTGGCAATGGGGCCCTCTCTCCCTAGGCCAGTCAGAAGATTCCTTAGGGAAGTAAGTGCCTGGCTAGGGTGAGCCTGGGGCTTTGCCACTGAACCACCCTGGAGGTCCGTATAGTGGGTGGAAAATCCTGTCCATTAGGGTTAATGGGAGCATTGCACAACAGACACTAGGTAGTTGATAAAACTGTCAGTCCACACTGCTTGTTCCAACTCTTAGCAATTTTTTGGCAAAGATGGTCTTAATTTAGATGAAATTTCATCTTGATGATTCCTCAAGAACTGGGTGGGTGGCCAGTGAGTGAAGCCTCTTGTCCACTGGTGGATGTGTTTGCAGCGCCCCCTGGTGGGCACGACTGGGAATTTACATAGATTAAGCCCTACCTAAAAAAAAAGCATTTCCCTCAGAAACTGCCTGCCCACACATTTTCTTTAAATGGCTTTTGTTATCAATTCAACAAAGTTTTTTAGTGTATATTGGGTGATTAGAGCTACTCTATACATTTAGAAAGATTGAATCAATTTTTAAATTATTAAAAACAACCATGTTCAATTTGTGATTTAAGAGATCTTTATATTACGATCCTTTAATTTTTTGGATTTCTGTTAAAACTTTAGGAAAAAGAAACCAAAGATGAAATTTGATATTGTCCTAATTAAACTTGACTGTTTGCCTACATCAGAGTTGGCAGATGTTTTCCTATGAAGGGCCAGGTAGTATTTTGGGCTTTGCAGGCCAGGCAGCCTCTGTTGCAAAGACTCAGTTTTGCCATTCTATCTGGAAAGCAGCCTTGGACTGTATGTTGAGTGGGTGTGCCTATGTGCCAATAAAACTTAATTTACAGCCTGGCTGGCATGGCTCGGCAGTTAAGCATTGACCTATGATCCAGGAGATCATGGTTCAATTTCCAGTCAGGTCACATGCTCGGGTTGTGGGCTTGATCCCCAGTAGGGGGTGTACAGGAGGCAGCTGATCAATGACTTTCTCATCATTGATGTTTCTGTCTATCTCCCTCTCCCTTCCTCGCTGAATTTAATAAAGATATATTTAAAAACAAAACAAAAATAACTTTATTTACAGAAATAGGCCAAGCATGGTGAATATGCCAGCCCCCAGCCAAATAGGCTTTGGGATCCATCTAGCTCAAGTGTTCACAAATTGGGACTGTTACCTAATGTTGCGCTTTCAGCTGGGCAAACTTGTCTAGGCGAGCACTGGGTTTCACCATTGTCCCCCATCCCACTCAGTGCACGTCATAGGGTCACCCACCTGTCTCCTTTAGGAATTGGTGTTTGCACCTATTTTGACATCTACAAAAAGATGAGAGAGAATTTTCAATTTGAGGTTCTTGGAGTAACCGAAACTTCAGATAACTATTTTCCAAAGAAGTTTATCCCCTAGGGGACAAGTTTGGACTGTAGTTAACGATAAGATTTTATTTTTGTCGTTATGTTATTATAAAATAGTAGGCGCTCGTGGAAAAAAATCAAGTATCAGCAAGAGTATCAAGTATGGAAAGTAAATTTTCCTTCCACTCCTCAGTTTCCCAGTCACTGTCCTCAGAGTTAAGTACCTATAGTGTATTATATTGTGTTCCTCTACATATTTCGACTTCATATGCAAACAGATGTTTATCCTCCAGGTTTTTTGAATGGCACACTGTTGTCATGCTTCCTTTTTTTTTTCTGTTTTACATAACAGTGTATCAGGTACACCTGTCCCTGGCAGTGACTCAGATGCTGAGCTCACTCTTATCTGGTAGATGCTGCTGTTTTATTTAGGTGCAGCATGACTTGCTCACTCGTCCCACACTTTGGACCTACAGCGCATCCTTTATGTATGTGGTGTCTCCCCGTCCAGGTCCCATGATGGGGTGGGAACGGACAACACGGTGGGGTGATTTCAGCCTTACCCATGTCCTGCAGGAAAGCTTCCGTCTGTCCACCACCTTACTATTCCAGCTTTCTGGTACATTCATGTAGATGCAAATTCTGACTAGATCCTTCTAGAACCATTTTTTGTAAATATTGCTGACATCCTATAGATACCCCACTTGGGAGAAGCATTTCTAACCTGTTAATTGATGACTTGGTGTAGAGCCTGAGAGTACCAATGATGAGCCCCCACCGAGTGATGACACTACTCATTCATAGAAAAGAATACAAACTTGACTGGAAGCCATCCCCCCCCCCGCCCCCAACAAGTGACCTGGCAGCTGTCAACTGCTTCCTCTTGCTGATGGGGCTTCGTGCATGCTAGTCCCCTCACCTGAAATGCTTTTCCCTTCTATGGTGCACTTGAACACCAGACCTTCATTATCAGTGGTCCGCGGGATGAGCCCTGTACACCAAGGCCCAACTCCAGGGTTTCACCCTGAGGCCTCCTCCTGTCAGGACCCATCCTCCATCTTGGCCTTCTGTGAACCTTCTCCCAGCCTCATGGTGTTGGTTACAGTGTCATGATCTGGGTACACGGGTCTCTCCCCCAGTAAATGTGAGCATCTCAAGAGCTGAGGTCACCTCACATGGACAGAGCACCTGGCCCATGGCAGACAGTGCTCTCTGGGGCTGGGGGCCAAGCTGAAGGCAGTTCCATGCACTCAGAAAAATGGAGAACCAGCACTGATGGGCCCGACTGAGTCTCTCCAACACTAACCACCTCCTGTGTTTGTGTCCTTAGTTCACGGGCAATGGGCCCTGTGAAATGAACAGTGTCCAGAAGAGTGAGCACGAGAAGAACCTGGAACACGGCAAAAAGCGCTCCCGGCCCTCTCTCCTCCGTCCTGTGTCAGCACCAGCCAAGGTACATCACCTGTGTCTGTAGATGTCCATGTGTGTGGACATGCAGCAGCCTGGCCTCCTCTGTAGATGACCTGGGGAGCAATGTCCGCAGGCCCCAAGCAGTCGTATGACTGGGGCAGGGGCTATGTCTGGACCCTGGTCTGGCTTGAAATGCACTGGCTGTGGGACCTTGGGAAGTCAGCTTACTTCCGGGGGTGCTGTTCATCTGCCCCCTGGCTTACAAGATTGTTGTCAGTAATGGTACCCCCTACATCCTCAATCTGCTCCTTTTCACCATCATGTCTCTTTCATGGGCAGGACTGCAGGTGCAGTTGTGCAGGTCAGTCACTGCACCAGGTGCCCCCTGAGGGATGAGAGGGGCTGAGCTCTACCTTCTGTTGCACTCATCACCCACGATAGTGATTTTCTCATCCCGCTGTTCTCTGTGCATTTACTAAGGGACTTTATGCTCTAAGGAACAGCTTTTTCTTTATCCCCATTTATTTAGTTACCTATGTCAACATGGACTCCGGGTTATAATCTGTAGCTATTAATTTATCTTGATGCCCAAACTGTCCCAAAATTGGCCAGTGGGGCCCTTTTGGGTTGGCTCCTGTGTCCTCTTGTCATGTCTGCATCATTCTTCAGGCACTTGGAAGATGGTTTTGTAGCCTCAGGAGTGCAGCCAAGTTCAGGTTCTAGTCTAGCTTAGAGACAAAAGTCTTTACAGAGATTTAAAACTTGGGCTTCTCCAGGATCCCACCAGTGCTATCGTCCTCTTCCTGTCCCTTTTCTGTCCCCTTCCCATCACGGTCACCACTCACAGGATAAAATAGGCAGGGGAGGGGTTTCTGATATTGTATCCAGGGGCATAGCTCTTTTGCTGTTCCAACTTTAGGATGTTCCTGCCTGTTATCAAAAGCCCTAAGTTGTCAAGACTTAGATCCCAGATTATGGGTGGAACAGTCTTGTGACCTTCACCCTTCACTAGGTCATGGAGGTAGGTGGTTCTGAGATGTTCATCCACAAGGGTCCCAGGCAGACCTCATCCAGCATCCAGTGACTGTTTCTGTCAAAACTCAATGCTGGCCTTGCTGACTCTGACAAAGATGGATGCACAGAGCACTGACAGCATGAATTTCTCTCCACAGAAAAAAATGAAACTGCGTGGTACCAAAGACCTGTCCATTGCTGCCGTGGGGAAGTATGGGACTCTACAAGAATTCTCTTTCTTTGACAAGGTGACTGGTGGGGCTCAGATGTGCAGGACGAGAGCTCTTGGGAAGGGAGCAGGTCAGGGGGAGCTCTTGAGTGGGTCTGGGAGGAGGGGCTGGCACCAGCTTTCACAGTGGAAGGGAGTGTGGGCCATCAATAAACTGATGGCAGGTGGTAGGTGAGCAGGAGGTGGCAGAACTCGGTGTCTGAGCTGGGTTTGAGGACAAACGTCTGCCACTCCCCAGCTTTGTGACTTTTCTAAAGCAGGGATCATGCTGAGGCTCCCACCCAGGGTCAGTGGGCTGAGCCAGCAAGATGGCCCATGCTATCTGAACTGCGAATTGCTGCAAGGAGAATATTGCCATGCAGATCATGGCCAGTCACTTCAGAGCAAGCCCATGTTGGTGACTTCATGTACCTAGTGATGTCTGAACCAAGTAGGCACAGGAGCCAGGGTTGGACCTAGCCCACAAAGCCTCCTGACTTGCTCTCCCTGCAGGTGCGCAGGGTCCTGAAGAGCCAGGAGGTCTACGAGAACTTTCTCCGCTGCATTGCACTCTTCAACCAGGAGCTTGTGTCTGGCTCTGAGCTCCTCCAACTTGTCAGCCCATTTTTAGGGTGAGCAACACTGCCCCAGGCTCTCCACATGAGTTTTGTTTCTGTAAACTCTGTCTACCCTTCTTTGAGTTATCTTTGAAAAATGATAGGTACTTTTTTTAATATGGTCTTTAAATGGATATTGTTGTAGAGGTTGTTATAGATTCACCGACAGTAGTAAGGAAGAACACAGATCCCAGGACTCGTTCCCTCCATGATAGCATCTGAAGTCAGCACCACAACCAGGATGATAACACTCCAGCAACCCACCCATCTTTGCAGGTTTCCCTGTTTCTAGTACATGTGTGTGTTTACAGCTCTATCACCCGATAAGGGGCATATGTCCCGCCACAGTCAAAATACTCAGTGGCTCCAGAACCACAAGGATCCTTATGCTGACCTTTGATACCCAAGCCTGTGTCCCTCCCACTCCCTGCTCCAGTCCCCGCCCTAAGCCCCTGGCAACCATCTCTGTGCTCCATTTCTAACACAAAACACATAAGTGTTATATAAATGGAATTATATGATAACCTTTCGGGATCAGCTTTTTCCACCTAGTATAAAACCCTGGAGATTCTCTTAAGGTAGGCTTTTAAAATTCTAACAATGAGAAATTGCAAGAAGAATGACAGACTTACTAGCATCCCAGCTGCCCAAAGAGAAACCCTTTTAGTGACCAGCTTCCACACATCCTGCTGCAGTGTGTGGGCAGACCCCAGGCCAAGGCAGCCGCTGGGAAGGTGGGGATGTTCTAGGAGGTAAACGTGCACCCATGGTTCATGCACAGTGAGCTTTAGGAAAGGGGGTTGGCCAGGTTCCAGTGTTGCCTCCCCCTCACCAGCCCTGTCATGTTGGGCAAGTTTCTTAGCCAGTCTGACCTCAGTTTCACAAAGCTCCATATGGGCTCTGTGCGTAAGACCCTTCAAATAAAATCTAGAATATGGTGAGTGTGCATTGTACATAATTGTATGTGTGACCTATTTAGCCCCAAAGGCAACCCCAGGGGAGGAGACTGCCTGGCTCTGTCATGGCAGGATCATTGTGCCAGCTGTCATAGTAACTGCACACTTGCAGTAGGATGATATTCATTTAAACATAAATCCAGGTGACATTGGGGTGGATTGCATGAAAACTTTCCCATCAACATTCATGGCTGGTACATTATGACTCATGAGAATGTATCCATAGAGGGTATTCCCAGGAGGGTCTCCCTGATAAGGGAGAAAGACTCTGGGGCAGAGCTGGGCAGACTGATCTGTCAAGGGCCAAGGGCTAGGACTACCCAACTCTGGCATTGTGCAAAAGAAGCCACAAGCAGTGTGTCAGGAATGGACATCACTGTGCCAGTAAAACTTTATTTACAAAGACAGGTGTGAGCAGGTTGGCCAACTGTGGCCTCTTCCAGTCAAGGAACATTGCTGACCCAGCTTCTGCCAGTCTAGGTTGTCTTTTCCAGAGTGTTTCAAGGCCATCCTGCAAGTGGCAGGGCCTGACTGGTGACAGAGTTTTCAGGGGCAGATTCACTCCCAAGTGGGGACTTTATGCACTTCTGGTGCTAGGTTTCACCTTTTGTCTCTCCTCCCTGACCTTGCATTCTGACCGTCTTTAACTGAAGGTGTCTATATGGAGCCATTCTGAAATCTCTAGATTGCTCCCAGAAAGCTCTAGGGGTACCAACTTACCATTTGTCTCTATTTCTGAAGGAAATTTCCAGAACTCTTTGCACAATTCAAGTCCTTCCTGGGAGTGAAAGAACTGTCATTTGCCCCACCCATGAACGACAGATCTGGGGATGGAATAAGCCGGGAAATCGACTACTCATCTTGCAAGCGCATCGGATCCAGCTACCGGGCGCTCCCCAAAACCTACCAGCAGCCCAAGTGCAGTGGGAGGACGGCCATCTGCAAGGAGGTAGCTCCCCAGGGCTTATGTTGGCTTGTGTGGTGCATGGCTCCCCGCCCCGCAAAAACATCTATCACCCCCATGTATCAGATGAAAGACTGAATGTCAACCCCTAAATGTTGAATAGTAGATATGCTGGGATGTGGCAAAACAAAATACCTGAGCAGAAATGACAGTGTCTTACCCTCCTGGCAGTTTTGGTAAACCACAGAGCCCACAGCACCATCGTAGGGTTTCGTACATTCCTCCATTTTTTTGACTTAGATTTATTTCTGCTGTGAGCCTGTTTTGTCCTGGGCTCATTGCCTTCAGTATGTTTCCATTTAGCTTGACAATTGAACACTTCTTCAGGGTTAGAGGACAGGCTGTTACTATATATCCAGAATTCAAGAGTGCCTGCTGGATTCCAGGGATCAGCAAGGAACGGCCTGTGGGCCAAATCCCAGGCCAAAGTTGGTCTACTGGTTGTGTTTGTCAGTAAAGTTTTATTGGCACACAGCCATGCCTATTGATTTACATATTGCCTGTGGCTAAGGCAGAGTTGAGCAGTCCCCACAAAACCTGAAATATTAATTATCTAGATTTTTACAGAGAAAGTTTGCCAACCCCTGAAACAGTGTGATTTCACTTGATCAAATTTACTGTTTGTATGATAAGGGAATTTCCTATAAAATCAAACTGATGTTATGTTTTCTGTATTCTACACTGGACAGTACAGTAAACAGTTCTGGCTGCCAGGGCTTGTCACCCAGGTAACAGCGTTTCCTCTTGGTACAGGTGCTGAATGACACCTGGGTCTCCTTCCCCTCTTGGTCAGAAGACTCCACCTTCGTCAGCTCCAAGAAGACGCCCTATGAGGAGCAGCTGCACCGCTGTGAGGACGAGCGTTTCGAGGTGCGTGTGCTGGTGCTGCAAGGCCCTCCAGGTGGCCCTGGGTCGTGGACACGATGGTGATGACCTGGGAAGTGTGCCTGTCCCCCATCCTCCATAGTGCTGCCCTCTCACTTTCCCCTGCTCATCTCTCTCTCCATCCCGGGATGTATCCTGACCCTTAACACCCCCAGTCTCCTCTTGAGTATCAGGGAACCAGCACTTTCCAACAGGGGCAGCTCCTTGCAGGTCTCTTTTGCCTTGCTTTCCTTTGGGGTGGCTAGGCAATGTATTTGAATTTAATTACTCAAATTAAGTTTGCTTAAGTTAATTTTTTGAAAATTTTGCTGAGATCACTGTAGATTCACATGCAGGATAAGAAATAACACAGCAATCTAGGTTCCCTTCCCACAGTGGTAGTAGATTATAAATCACTATCACAGTATCACAGCTGGGTCAGTGACATTGGCACATCAGTCCAGTTGGACTGTATTCATGTGTGCATGCCTGTGTTTGTGTATGTGTGCGTATGTGGCATGTGCGTGTGTTGTTTATGCACGCATGTGTTTTCAGCTCTGTGAGGTTTTTCCACTTTTGGTGGTTCATGTATCCACCACCACAGCCAAGATACTGAATGGCTCCTTACCACTAGGACCCGTCGTTCTGCCCTTTATATCTGACCACCTCCCCCCAGTCCCACCCAGCCCTGACCCCTGGCAACACTGACCTGTCCCTTCATCTCTCTCACTGTGACACAAATGGAATCATACAGTGTGTACCCTTTGGGGATTGGCTCCCCCTGCACATGCCCTGAGAGTCATCCAGAGGCTAAGTGCACCATGGGTCCCTTCCCCTTTTTTGCCAAGCAAAACTTGCTCTTTATGCCCATGAAGAGGGTTGGCCAGTGGTAAATGGCCCATGGCTCTCAGTCCCTCAGCATCAAGTCCTGCATTTGTGCCTCACCTGGCTGGACCCCAGCCCAGTAATCAGCCATGCTTGCTCAGGGCCCACCTTCTAATGCCTGTAATACCCCCTCAGACGTGGAATTTGTTAGCTCTGTCTAACCATCCCTTCTGCCTGCCCAGGCCCCTCCCCAGACACCCACTGACCCCTTCCCACCTTCCTCTCCATAGTTAGACGTTGTCCTGGAGACCAACCTGGCCACCATTCGCGTGTTGGAAAGCGTGCAGAAAAAACTGTCCCGGATGGCACCGGAAGACCAGGATAAGTTCCGGCTGGATGACTGTCTGGGGGGCACATCGGAGGTGATCCAGCGTCGCGCCATCCATCGCATCTATGGTGATAAGGCTCCTGAAATCATTGAGAGCCTCAAGAAGAACCCTGTCACTGCTGTCCCCGTCGTCCTCAAAAGGTTTCCTCAGCTTCTGGCCCCCTTGGAGCTCATTAGTGTTGTTGGTCACAGGTGTCATCACAAGGCAGGGAGGGGGATGTGGGGAAGATCCTTAGGGCCTCAGGTTGCCTTACTGGGTTTTTCAGTCTTCCTTCATCTTCCTATTCCCCTCCTGAGAGGAAAGCACAATTAACAGTCATCCTAGTCCTTTGGCCACCACACACATAATTAGATCAAAACATGCCTTTTACTTAGTAATATGCCTTAGGAGCTTTTGCATGATAGGGAACAGGTATTAATAAGTGGCTGTCCTCAGTTGCCTGACTCTGGGGTTGCAGAGCTGAGCAAGGCCCACACAGTTCCTTCCCTCATGGGGCTTACAGTTGAGCCAACAGCTACATGGAATATGGTCAGTGACACGAGCCAGGACAGGGAGGAGGTTGGTTCCATAGCAGCGATGTTTGAGAAACCATAAAACTGGCCACGTTGGTCCTCTAGGACCATGGTTTCCACCTGGAGACAGGCCTGGAACTGGCTGTCTCAAGTTTGCAGTGTAATGGCTAGTCTGTGGGTGGAAGACAGGCTGCTCCTAATGTAGGGATGACTCAGGCAAGTGTCCCAGGCTATTCCCATGCTGTCCCTGTGCTGAGCCCCTCTGGCCCCTGCAGGCTGAAGGCCAAGGAGGAGGAATGGCGGGAGGCCCAGCAGGGCTTCAACAAGATTTGGCGGGAGCAGTATGAAAAAGCATACCTCAAGTCCCTGGACCACCAGGCCGTGAACTTCAAGCAGAACGACACCAAGGCCCTTCGTTCCAAGAGCTTGCTCAACGAGATTGAGAGTGTCTATGATGAGGTGAGGCCCTCCTCCACACTGGGCTTCTGTGCCTGTTTCCCAGCTGTTAGGCAGGGTTGGTAACATTGCCCTTACAGGGCTGCATAGGGGTGAAGATGGATGTTTCTGTAGCACACAGACTAGGGCTGGTCAGGGGGAAGGACTGCAGCAGCTCTGCTGTTGTCAGCTGGTGCTCTTCCCCTCCCTCTGTCTTTCCATGGGCCTTGATGGACCTTCCTTTGGATGCCTGATACTAGTAGCTTTCCTTTCTCCACCACCAATGTGTTCCAGGTAGCATTAGAACCCCCAGAAGGAACATCCTATATAATAACCCTTGCTCATAGACCTTCCTATGCAATACCGTTTTTCAAATTTTAGCAGTGAAGAAACAGGCAAATAGGTGGCCACTTGCCAAGGCCAGTCACAGCAGACCAGAGCTCTGAGCCCTAGGGCTTCACCTCCAGTAGCTGCACCGTGTCCTCTTGCCAGTCTTAGAATGTGTAGGGTCATGGGCCCCAGACCACGTAACTGGGGCAGGGCTGGGCTCTCAGGCTCTGAGAATCTGGACCTTTGAAAGATGCATGCAAGAAGAGCCCTGGCAGGGAGATGGAGGCCACTGAGGTGGCAATCAGTGAGGTGGGCACAAGTTCCAAGGAGTGGTGGTGGGGGGGGGATGCTGCTCCCAGGCTGTGCTGGGAGACAGAGCAGCATCAATGACTGAGCAGTTGCCTGTACAGGGTCACTTACTCCCTTTTATTCTTCTTGTAAGCAGCAAGCAGTTGTACCTCCTCTTATAGTATGAAAATTAAAGGCGGAGAAGCCAGGCCACTGGGGGTATCTCTGCCCAGAATGCAGAGTAACTCGGAAGTTACTCTTCTGTGTAACTGTAGAGACCACCCAGGGCTGTTGCTCTGAAACCCTTCCCTTCAGCCTCCCCCTGGGGCACCCTCACCCCTGCAGGGCCCACCCCTTGGCCCTAGCCCTACCCTTCAACCTGTCTCACCTCCTCACTTGAGTTCTCAGGTGGGATGTCGAAGCCTGTGACCTCTCCCCACCAATGGGGTTTGTGGTACATTGACCACTGACTGCTGACCACTGAGTTCCTTGACTCTTCCCCTGAGGACAGAGGGGATAGAGGTATTTGGCTGATGAGGGCCAGAGCACAGAGTGGGAGGCCCTGCCAGTCACTAGTTTTGTTTGGGGAACAGCCTTTGCCCCCTCCCCCTGCCCTGCCCTGCCCTGCCCTGCCCTGCCCTGCCCTGCCCTGCCCTGCCCTGCCTTCAGGTGGTCCCACCTACAGGGATCAAGTCCACACTCACTCTTCCCAAGAGCCTAGGCATCTCCCATGTGCTCAGGCAGTCTAGAGGAAGTAGTCGTTATCTTCAGGTTTTCTGGAAGAACAATGATTAGCTAAATACCGAGGGGAGGGATAAAGCCAGGGACCTGGTTCTCAAGAAGAAAGAGTAAACAGGCTCATGTAGAGGTCCTGTGCACAGCAGAACAGAGCTTAGTGCCCCTGAAGCATCAGAGGAGGAGCAGTGGGTGCTATGAGGCCAGGGAGGCTACAGGACAGCGTGCCAGGGGCTGGAGTCCAGTGCTGAGCAGTGTGGGAGGGCCTGGTGGGGGGTGATAGAGTTGGCTGTGCTCCTATTGGCCAAATTGCTCTAGACTCAGTGAGGAGAGTGGTTGGACTAGGCAGGTGAATGGGAGCAGGCAGGTGGAAGGCCTGTACAGGGTGATAGAACTGTGGAGCGGCTTGTGGCAGGTGGGATGGGGACAGAGGCAGAGTATGTGAAGGACTGAGGGAGGAGAGGGTTGATGTGTAAGTAGTCCCAGGTCTTCACTGTCTGAGCATCCATGAATGAATGATGGTGGGCAGAGAGGCCCAGGGTCTGCCCTGAGCCTTCCTCACTCCCATGGAGAACTTGGATTGGGCAGCGCAGGTCAGCTGGAATTTGGTGGCCAGGGCTCTGCTCCTGTCATGTCCCCTGACCTCTAGGCACTGCTGCAGTCATTGGTGGTGGGAGGGAGTGTGGTCTGGTCCTGGCACTGGACAGTGTGACATCATTAAAAGCCCCTCAGCCCTGGGTTCAAGTCTTGGGTTCTCCCAGCTGGTTGCTCTCTGCCTGACATTCACCCTGTCTCCAGCACCAGGAGCAGCACTCAGAGGGCCGCAGTGCTCCCTCCAGTGAGCCACACCTTATCTTCGTGTATGAGGACAGGCAGATCCTGGAGGATGCAGCCGCACTCATCAGTTACTACGTGAAGCGGCAGCCAGCCATCCAGAAGGAGGACCAGGGCACCATCCACCAGCTGGTGCACCAGTTTGTGCCCAGCCTGTTCTTCTCCCAGCAACTGGACCTAGGGGCATCTGAGGACTCCGCTGACGAGGGCCGGGGGAGCCCCCAGGGGCAGAGTGTGGACCCTGGTGACCGGAAGAAGCCTGCGGTTGGTCCACAGAGCAGCCCCCCTGTGGAGAAGGGGGCCTCCGGCGAGGATACCACCCCTGAGCAACAGCCACCACCGCCGCCACCACCACCACCACCACCACTACCACCACCACCGCACAAGCCCATGGATGACGTCTACAGCCTCTTCTTTGCCAACAACAACTGGTACTTCTTCCTGCGTCTCCACCAGACCCTGTGCTCTCGGCTCCTGAAGATCTACCGCCAGGCTCAGAAGCAGCTCCTGGAGTATCGGACTGAGAAGGAGAGGGAGAAACTGCTCTGTGAGGGCCGTCGGGAAAAGGGCAATGACCCTGCCATGGAGCTGCGGCTGAAGCAGCCTAGTGAGTTCTCCAGACCCTGTCTGAGCCCGCAGATGATGTGCGAGCACTGGGAGAAGGGCAGCAGCCTAAGTGGGCCCCAAGGGTTTCAGTTCATAGCTTATGATTGGAAATGTCCCCTTGTGTTTTTTCTGACTTTTCATTTTGAAATAATTATGTTATCTCAGATGAAAAATTTTAAATGAGAAATCACAAAAATAATAGTCTTGAACACCCTTCCCAGCCTCCCCCAGCAGTAGCACCGCTCTGGCTGTAGTGCCGTGGTAGGACCAGAAAGGAAACCAGCATCGCCAGACCACAGCCACTGCGCTTTTTGCCTGCCCTCCCCAGGCGCAAAGCACTGGGTGTTTTCTCCCAAGCTGGGATTCATGGAACTACTGCCCAGTCAAGCTTCCGTCCTGGAGTCATGGGCCAACATTAGGAAGCTCGTGTGGGAGGTGGGGAACATGGGCTGCTTGGTTCTATGGAGATTCCTGATTCACCCTGATGGGGGCCTTGGGGGTATCGCCCTGTGTGACCTGGTCTCCACCCGCCCTCAGGTGAGGTGGAGCTGGAGGAGTACTACCCCGCCTTTTTGGATATGGTGCGCAGTCTGCTGGATGGCAGCATCGATCCCACGCAGTATGAGGACACTCTACGCGAGATGTTCACCATCCACGCCTATGTCGGCTTCACCATGGACAAGCTGGTGCAGAGCATCACACGCCAGGTGAGCAGGCACGGTTTGGGCAGCCAGCAGGTGGCAGGAGGCCTGACATGGGGCTACAGCATCTCTCCAAGACTCCCTACCAGTCCCCATCTTTGAAAACTAGCCCTTCCATCACTCTCATGCTGGGTAGTTGGCCCTAGGTCAGCATCTTTCCTTTTTTAAAAAAAAAAATCAATGTAGAATTTATGTAACATAATGTTAACCACTTTAAAGTGAATGATTTAGTGGCATTTAGTACATTCACAGTGTTACACAACTATCACCTCTGTCTAGTTCCAGAACATTTCTGTCACCCCCAAAAGAGACCCTGTCCCCGTTAGTAGTCACACTCCATTTTCCTACTCCAGCCCCTGACAGCCACCAATCTGCTTTCTGTCTGTGGGTTTCTGGACATTTCATATGCATGGAGTTACACACTATATGGTCTGACTTGTCTCACTCGGCATGATGTTTTCAAGATTTACCCATGTTGTATGACCATGCTTCATTCTTCTTTACGGCTGAGCAATATTCCATTGTATGGATGGATACCTGAGTTGCTGCCACCTTTTGGCAATTGTAGATAATGTTGCTGTGAACTGTATTTGAGTCCCTGCTGACAAACCTTTTGTGAGGGTAATTTGGCAATGTGTGAAGAATTTTGGCCCTGCCCAGCCAGCATGGCTCAGCAGTTGAACATCAACCTATGATCCCAGAGATCATGGTTGGATTCCCGGTCAGGGCACGTGCCCGGGTTGTGGGCTCAATCCCCAGTAGGGGGCGTGCAGGAGGCAGCCGGTCAGTGACTCTCTCATCATTGATGTTTCTCTTTCCCTCTCCCTTCTTCTCTCTAAAATCAACAAAGACTTATTAAAAAAAAGAAGAAGAAGAATCTTGGCCCACTTCTAGAGGGGGTGGGAAGATATCAGTGATGTTCCTCAGTCATCTATCATTTATAGTAGCAGAACACTGCCCACAGCCAAATATCAAGAAGAAGAAACTAGTCACATAAATATAAACAGCAATGCCCCAGACAGGTTGGGTGTGGTCCTGGATCCTGTGTCCTGCTGGTGGTGTTCTTCATCTTGACTTTTGTTTCCTGATTATCAACTAAGGCTGTTCGCTTAAAGTGAGAGAGAAGCCAAGAAAAGAATAATGTTATTACTCTCCCACCCAGATACAGTCATTGGTAACATTCTAGAAAAGCCATTTCCTTCTAGGTTTGAAAAACTTCCTGTTGAAGTAGAACACACATACAGAAAAGGCCCAAATCCTAAGTGTGTGGCTCAGTAGGTCTTCACATATGGCTACCTTCATCCACAACCCCTCCCAGCCACTCCTTACCATGGGCACCCACTGCCCAGGTTTCTGATGCTGAGATAGAGTCCCTGGTCTTGAGCTGTGTGTAAATGGAAGTATACCGCCCGTCTAGCTGTGTCAGGCGGTGTGATTCTGTGACATTCGTTTTTGTTGAGATGCTGTGGCTCCTTTATCCTGGCCTGTTCAGGGAACAAGCTCCCATCTGGGCCCTTGGAACAATGCTGCATGTCTCCTGGTGGTCATCTTCGAATTTCCTCCATTCCCTTGGATGGGGCATAGGCAAGCCCACCAGCCGCGGTGGAAGCTTCTGGTTTTCCATTGGGTACTTACTCTCAGTCCTGCCCAGAGCTGGGGATTGGCAGTCTTTCATCTCTCCTGAGCCTAGGGACAGGAGGATTTCATTGTGGTTTACATTACATTTCCCCAGTGGCTCATGAGGTTGGCACCTTTTTGTCTCTTTGGCTGTTTGGATGTCCAGTGAGGGAAGCATACATGGGGCCTTGCACGCAGCTCCAGGAGATAGTGACTAAGGGGACACCATGGGGCTGAGCACTGTACCCCTAGGACTGGGGAGAGCTGTGGCTCCATCAGACCCCACTGGAAATGCCCTGAGCCAGATATGCTCACAGGGCTCCTCCATGCTGGCACCTGTAACCTACCTTTTTATTAGCATTTCCTGTTTTCAGTAACAGCAGCCACTATTGGGGAGCCTGCCATGTGCCAGGCCCTGTACAAGATCCACGTGTTACTTTATTCAACATTGTGACACTCGGGGAAGAACCCAAGGCCCTGAGTCTAGTATCTGGTCCTGCTACAACTCACACCAGCTCCATCTGACCCTGTGCCTCAGCTGTTTCCGTTACTCATTTCTTCTTAAACCTTAGGTTTTATGTGTTTGTAGGAATTAAAGAAATTCATTGTGTTTATAGCTGAAAATTTAGGGAAAGTAACCTCCCTCCATCCCCCCACTTTCAGATAATTACCATCCCATTTTGGAACATTTTCTTTTGCATTTATTCCATCTGTTTCCCAAACCCAAGCAGGGTTTGCTGGTTTGGTCTAGTTTGGACTGGTCTGCTCTGCCCTGGAGTGGTTTGCTCTTGTCTGCTTTAGTCTGATCTGGGCTAGTTTTTTCTGCTCTAGTTTGCCCTGCACCCTGTGCTAAGGTACTCACTCTGCATGGGCCATCTGATCCTGGCCTTCATCCCCATGTCTTGGACTTTACCACATCCTCTTTGGGTGAGGAGAAGCTGTGTTCACCCCTCCTGAGGGGCACACACCCCAGGCACCCACTGGCTTTCCCTCCTCTCCACCAGCTGCACCACCTCGTGAGTGATGACGTCTGTCTGAAGGTGGTGGAGCTCTACCTGAACGAGAAGAAGCGGGGCGCCGCAGGTGGGAACCTGTCCTCGCGCTGTGTCCGTGCTGCCAGGGAGACCAGCTACCAGTGGAAGGCTGAGCGGTGTATGGCTGATGAGAACTGCTTCAAGGTGAGAGGCCAGCCATGCTCAGCCCCATATGAGGCTAGGGGTGCAAGTGGGAATGCCCAAAACAAGAGGGGGCCAGCCATTGTGCTTGGGCCTGGGGGCAGGATTGGACTGAACCATGACTTTTGCAGTTGGTCCAATAACATGCACTTCCTTGACTGGGCCTCTGGATGCTGGCCCTGGCCTTAGAGGGCACCACAGGGCCCATGAGGTGGGTACCCAGCACATGATCCCTGGAGGAAGAATGCAGGCCTAAAGGCTGGCAAAGGTGGGTCATTGATTACCTTTCAACCTTGTCCTGTGTCATCTTGGACTGTTCTGTGGCTTCAGGCTTTGTCCCCTACCTTCCCCAGGTGATGTTCCTTCAGCGCAAAGGGCAGGTGATTATGACCATTGAGCTCCTGGACACCGAGGAAGCCCAGTCAGAGGACCCTGTGGAGGTCCAGGTGAGGACCACTGCCCTGTGCTCTGCCTTGTGCACACTATGGGGCCAGGGGAAGCCATGGTCAGCATCATGGAGCCCCCACCCCAGAGCCGCATGCACAAACACATGGAAGCCTGAGAGAGGGCCAGAGTTAAAAACAACCTCTCAGGAGTCCAGGGTGTGTCCCAGGGCAGGTGGGCCAGGCCACCCTTCCCCAAACCTTGGCTCCTGACTCCTTCCATCTGCTGTAGATGTGGGGGACATCCCAATTGAGCCTGTAGCCAGCATGTTCACTCACCCTGAGCTGTGTGACTTCTGCACTTCCTGTCCATAAAGCTCAGGGCTCCAGGGCCCCTGGCCTTAATCACCAGAACATCCGCCTGGTCTATGCTCTTGAGTCACACATTCCACAGGACTAGACATTTCCCCTATGTCTCTGTTTTCTGTTCTTATAAGGACACCAGGCATTGGATTTAGGGTCCACCTTACTCCAGTGTGACCTCGCCTTAGCTTGATTACATCTTCAAAGACTGTTTCCAAATGAGATCACATTAACAGGTGCCAGGGGTTAGGACTTAGACATGTCTTTTTGGGGGACACAATTCAACCCACAGTGGTGAGCAGCTTATCACAGTTTACCTGGGACATTTCCAGTTTTATCACCAAAAGTTCCACATTCCAGGAATTGCCTGTTCTCAAACCACTGCGATTGGTCCCCTGACACAGCTGTGTCAAAGCCTTTTCTAGACTCAAGCAGTATGTAACCAAAAAAGAAATATGATTTCTGTTGCTGCCTTTTTTACCTTGACTCAGTCAAAATCTATGGACCAGGAGCTCTGGAGCGTCATGTCCACTCAGGAGCTTTGTGTCTGGATATGCAGGAAGGTGCAGTGACACTTGGTGCTCTCACACCACTGGGAACAGGGCTGGTAAACCCAAGCCTTCTCCACAGAGCTGGGGCCCACCCCGACCCTCACCACATTCATGGGGCCTCCACTCCAGCATCCCTCCTTGCCTACTTCAGGACTCCCCCACACAGGAAGCTTTCCAAAACAAGTGAGGGTGGAGGCCTGCATACTCTGCACCTTCTGGAAGTTTTCAGCAAATGTGGTTATGTAAAGTTCATGTCTAGAGAAGCCTTTGATTTTAAGAGGGTGGTGAGCAGATAAAGGGTCCACCAGCCATGCCCACCCCCCTCCCCAAGACCTGGGCAGCCCCTACCAGCCCCACCTTTTGTTCACTCTCACCTGTGACCTGGTCTGTCCCTCTTTCTACTGCTGTTCATGTCCTGATGTCCATTCCTGAACCCCACTCTCCTCCATATGGGGGTCCCCATTCCCTGTGTGAATTTAACCACATGATGAATAGGTTGTTACACAGCAGGGACTTCTCCATTTAAACACACACTGCCATAAGCTAATTGCAGCTGGGTGTGCACGTCCCACCGCATCTGCAGTCTGGTCGTTTCAGTTACATATCAGGGTGTCCAGCAGCAGCCATCCCCTTAAACCTTTGGGTAGGATGAAGACAGCATCCTCAGGAACCCTGAGTTCAGGGTCCTAGCTAAGAGGCCTATTATGTGCAAAGTCACAGCCATGTCTCCCTCTGTCCTCGTAGCATCTGGCTCGGTACGTGGAGCAGTATGTGGGGACCGAGGGTGCATCCAACTCACCCACCGAGGGCTTCCTCCTGAAGCCTGTGTTCCTGCAGAGGTGAGAGGAGCCTCAAGGAGACCCTGTGTCTTTGAGGCTAAATGACAGTTTTTTGGGGGGACCATTTATTGGGCACCTAATGTATACGAGGTGTGGCTCTACCTTCCTGAGGTCTGGGGTGAGCAGAGCAGTAATCCCAGGACAAGAAACATGCAAGGGGGCTGCCCTGCCTAAGGGAGCAAAGGGGCTGAGAGGAGGGATTGAGGGCCCGGAGAGAGAAGCTACTCAAAATGGCAGCCATCAGGCTAGAGGCAGCCTCATCAGACCCTGGACCTGGGGCTAGGCAGGGCCAAATCTTATCTTTGGCCAAGTAGAGACAGTGGATTTTAAAGATCAATGAGAGCTGTTGGTGGTGTTTAGATTTGAGCAGGGACCCATTGCCAGATGGGGACCGACCTGGGGGTGGGGTCCCAGGCCCACTGATGGGAGGGAGATGGAATCAGATCTGGGAGAGTGGAGGCGGGGAGAAGGAGTCCTGGCTGAGGGACATGGGAAGCAAGTGAGAGGAGCCAGCAGGGCTGGCCAGGCAGCCTCTCCCAGGGTTGCCAGCACATCTATGTGACGGGTTGGTTTTCACTAGATTGAAGGGTTTGGGTGGTGGTGTTTTCCTTTGATTTCCGTTTCCCTCACCCCTGGGAAATCCAACCAAGAATTTCCTTGTCTGCAAATCCTCCTCTCGCCCCCAGGAACCTCAAGAAATTCCGCAGGTGGCAGTGTGAGCAGGTGCGGGCCTTGCGTGGTGAGGCCAAGAGCTCCTGGAAGCGGTTGGTGGGGGTGGAGAGCGCCTGCAATGTGGACTGCCGCTTCAAGCTCAGCTCCCACAAGATGATGTTCATAGTGAACTCCGAGGACTACATGTACCGCCGGGGGACCCTTTGCCGGGCCAAGCAGGTGCCCCTCCCGTCCTTTCCTGGGACCCTGGGTCGAGCTCACAGCCAGCTAGGGGTACCTGGGCCCTTGAGATCAAGTCCACGACCATGTAGAGGTGCCTGGGCTCCCATCCTGGGGACCTCGGTCCAGCCCACAGCTAGCTGGGGGTGCCCCGGTCTCTTGACTCTCCACCCACCCCCTGCAGGTACAGCCCCTGGTCCTGCTGCGGCACCACCAGCACTTTGAGGAGTGGCACAGCCGCTGGCTGGAGGACAACGTGACTGTGGAGGCAGCTGGCCTGGTGCAGGACTGGCTGATGGGTGAGGAGGATGAGGACATGGTGCCCTGCAAGACGCTGTGTGAGACAGCCCACGTGCACGGCCTGCCTGTGACCCGCTACCGCGTGCAGTACAGCCGCCGCCCCGCTTCCCCCTGATGCACCTGAGCAGCCGTCCCAGCACGCAGTTCGGTATGGCTGCTTCCTCCGGCCTGTGTGTCGGTCAAGAGTGTTTTCATGAACCACCTGAGGGAAGGAGAGCATCCTCCAGTCTTGCTGCTGCAGGCTGCCATCTCTCAGTTCCCCAGCTTCCTTTAGGCCAGTCCTGTGCCAAACCTGAACCCCCTGCACTTGAACTTGGGGCTCAGTCCCCAGCAGAAAGGGGACGATCCAGGCACTGCCTGAGGAGCAAGCAATTGTGTTCACACACCTGCCAGGCGCCTATATCACATGTGCCAAATCTCTGGGTAGGGCCAAGCTGGTAATTTTGTGCACAGGGCATCTGGAAAAGTCAGTGACAAGCCTTGTGAGGGCACACGTTTGGGAGGGCTCAGCATTCGAGAGCCCCCAGCATAAAAGGAGTTGGGCCAGGGACCTGCTTGAAAGGTGTGTCCTTCCCGAGTGGTTCTGAGAGCTTCCAGAAACATTTCTCAAGTGGGGCAATGCCCGTATCTTGACTGTGGGCATCAGCTTGGCCCAGCCAGTGCTTGGATCCTCATTTAATAAGCAGTAAGAACCCTTTCAGCCAAACTGTTCAGTGTGGGGTTGGGCAGAAGGCACCAGAATGGCCCAGAAGACACTACTCTGGAAAAAGACATGCCAAACCCTGTGTTGATCCAGCAGCCGGACTCTGGGTCTATGAGGGTCAGGGCTCAGCCCAACACCCACCGAGTTTGAGTGGCCCATGTTGGAAGGGCCCCAGGGTGGGATTGTGTACCTAAAATGGATGTTCTAGAAATTCATAGATACACACACATATTTATTCCTTTACGCTCTCTTGGTGGTTGTAACTTTTTCAACGACCAAGTCCCAAAGCTTCTTGGGAAGTGAGAGCCCTCTTCGTACCCACCCTGATGTGTGTGAGTGGCTGAGGCGACTGTCTCATAGAGACATCCATGGCTTTCTGTGCCAAGAACGCCAAGCCATTCAGGCTGGGGACCAGCTCTTTAAACTTATTGCACCACGAGAAGCCGTGGCAGGGCCCCTGGCAACATCATACTGAGAGTGGGATCCACTGACAGGTGGGCCCAAAACAATCCCTGTGCAGCCTCTGCCATCCACAGCCCTCGCCCTCCTGTGGCTGAGCTGTGCCAAACCCACAGTTCCTGGAAGTAGAGAGGTGATTCTAGAAGTTACCTGTGGAATTCAAGGTTTGTGAAGCCTTTGATTCTAGGGCCAAGGCCGACTTACCCCTCTTGGGGTGTCCCTGCCCCTGATTTCTCAAGTGTAACCCAGGCACTTTGTCCGAGCCCTTGTTTTATAAGAAGGGAACTTCTCAGAATTCCTGAACCAGCCCCTTCAGGCAGCCCCTCTGTGCCTCAGCAGGGGCCTGGGTGTTTGCCAAACCCCCACCCTGCATGCTTCTAAGGAGCTCTTTTTCATTTTTGAAGAATTTCTCTTCTGGGGCTTGAACTTCCTTTGCAGCTGTTTTGAATGTAGTTTCCTTTTCTATTTATTTGCACATTAAAGTTAAAAATTAAATATTGACCTGAAGCTGTGAGATTCTGTGTTATTTCCTGTGAATAAATCCCAGGGTGGCTTCTCCCACCCAGTTGAATTCAGTGGCAGGACCCACAGGAAATATATGTGCCTGCGCACCCAGTGGTTCCCAGACCTCACAGGTTACATTTCCCATGGGGTGGTGCTCTGTTCTCATACCAGAGCATTTTCTAGAACATTCCAACTCAGTTTTTATATTCAGTAGAAATGTGAAATTTTTCTTCTAGTGTTGTGCATGCGAAACCCAATTTCGAGACCAGTGTTTTCTCTGAGCAAGTCTGGAGGCTCATGGGAGGCGGGCAGGATGGGGGGACCTTGTTTCCCCAGCCACACAAAACTACCTTCCATACTCTAACCCTGGGGACCAACCCCTTCCACCTCTTGCTTCTTTCCCATCACTGTGTCCTCTGAACATCTCTAGGACCCCCTCTCACCTGGCCTGCTTCCACCCCTACACCCACCCCCCAAGGAGTGGGGGATCCCACACCTCTGCTCAAGAACCTTTTAACTGGCACTGCAGAGGAGCTGGCTGCACCCTCCAGCCAGTTTACCATGTACCTGCCCCTCCCCTCAGCTGTGCCCAGTGCCCACCACCAGGCCTCAACCTGTCAGGTTCCTTTGTTCAGTTGACACCACCCTGCTCACCTGGCTAGTCCTTTCCCAGGGACTCTCCCCACCCAAGGACCCCCTCCCTCCATCCATGTGCTGCCTTGGTGGTGCCCACCTCCCCCTCCAGAGCATCAGGGGTAGCAGGGAACTTGGAGATGGCTCATACTGTCGTGGATTCCTCCTGCCTTAGCCCACATCAGAGGTGCTCAGGGCCCCACTGTTAGACTGGCCTTCCTCAGTCCGAAGTGCTGGGAGAAGAGGCCTTGGCATGTAAACAGTGGCTGCTGCAGCTCCCATGAAGGGCACTGGGTCCCATTGTGGGAGGCAGAACTCTGAGATGGCCCCGGGATTCCCACCCGATGGACACCTCTATTAGTCCCTGCCCTCAGTGGCCTGTGACTGTGATGAGGTTCCTAAACAGTGACTCAAGAGAGGGTCTCCAGCTGGCCTGGAAGACGGCAGCTCCGTGGTTGGGAGGGAACAGGACCACTGCAGATGAGGACGGGGCCTGAGCGGAGGACCAGCGTGCCGCTTGGACTCCTCAGCCAGGGAAGCACCATTAAAAGCCTGTTGTTCTAAGCCAGTCGCCCCGGCAATGAATTAGGCCAATGACAGGTCAGCCCGAATTCATACAGCAGCCCTTCTTCCTCACTACCCTGAGTCTCCCTGCACCTCCGAGTGTAGGGAGGGGAGCTGCAGGACCAGATGGGCTGCCTGCCCCTCCCCGGTGTGGCGGAGAGGCAGTGGGGGTCAGGTGGGACCCAGTGAACTCTGTCATTAGAGGGGTGTTTGTCTTGCTGGCTATTTGTTAGGTACAACTAGCACTTTACACCTGATGTCCTGGCTGAGAATGAGTCTGATTGTTCTAAAAAGCAAGTTGACCTAGAGTTAGTCTCAGAAGGCCCCTGGTGGGGGTAGGACAGGTAGGGGTAGGAACTGCCTGGTAGGAGCCTGCAGGACTTGAGATGAGGTCTCTATGAATGAGGGCCTTAGAAATCCCAACTACACCTTGCCCAAGGTTCTCCAGCACCTTCGCCCTGAGTGTGGGAGCTCCAGGCCATGGTACAATTGAACAGACTCAGATTTGGGTTTCTGGGGAGGAAGCACAGGGCATCTGGAGTTGGGAGGGCCAGACTTCAAACCCTGGCACCAAGCAAGGCAGATCATAGCCCCTTCTTCTTGGGCCACTCCAGTGGGTTAATGTCCCTGCTCACAGGCCGAGGCCTAGCCTAGGATGAGGGGAGGTGTAGGCACATATGAGTGCCCATCTGGCTTCAAAATACAACATAAAGTAAACACAACTTCACCCTGGCTGGTTTTCTCAGTGGTTAGAGTGTTGGCCTGTGGACTGAAGGGTCCCAGATTCGATTCCAGCCAAGGGCACATACCTCAGTTACAGGCTTAATCCCGGGCACCTGTCAAGGTGCATGCAGGAGGCAACCAATGGATGTGTCTCACATCTGTTTCTCTCTCCCCCACTCTCTCTGAAAAGCAATGGAAAAAATATCCTCTGGTGAGGACTTTGTTTTTTTTAAAATATATCTTTATTGATTTCAGAGAGGGGAAGGGAGAGGGAAAGAGAGAGACAGAAACATCAATGATGAGTCATTGATAGGCTGCTTCCTGCACACCCCCTACTGGGTGTCGAGCCCCAACCTGGGCATGTGCCCTGACCAGGAACTGAGCCATAATCTGGATCCTAGGTCAATGCTCAACCGCTGAGCCATGCCTGCTGGGCTCCAGTGAGTATTTGAAAAAAAAAGAAAACACAACTTCCACAAAGATGGCCACCCCGAGAAGTGTTGCTTTGGAAGGACTTACAGAGCACCCATCTTCTGCAGGCAGTGAGGTGAGGGAGGGGCCGTGGGGAGAATTGCCTTCCAGAGTTCCTGGCAGGGCTGAGGGTGAAAAAAATCCAGGACTAGTGACTGAGCTGGGCCTGTTTGTCACTTTATTCATCATTTAAGAAGTTTTAAATTGGGCTAAAATACACTTAACAAAATTTACCACATTAACCATTTAAGTGCACCATTCAGTGGCATCAAGTGCGTTCACATTGTGCAGCCATCACACCCTTCATCTCCAGAACTTCCTCCTCTTCCCAAACAGAAACTCTGTCCCATTAAACACCAGCGCCCCATGCCCCTCCCCCAGCCCCTGGCACCCGCCATTCTACTTTCCGTCTGTATGGATCTGACTTGGGACCTCATGTAAGTGGAATCATACAGTATTTGCCTTTTGTGTCTGGCTTATTTCACTCAGCATAACATCCTCAAGGTTCATCCATGTAGCATGTGTCAGAATTCCCTTCCTTTTTGAAGCTACCTTTCTGCTTTTTAAAAAGTAGAAGTCTATGGAAAGTGACACATACACAGAAAATTCCAGTAGTACGAAGAAGCACATGGAGAAAAGTAGGGGCCCAAGTCCCTCTCCCCAAAGGCAGCAGCCCGAGTGTCCCCAGGGGAAGTATCTCTGCATAGCTTGTCACCCAGTTGGGACAGGAAAGCAGTCCGTACCTCTGCCTGCCCTGTCTTGGGTCCCTTTGTTCTGCTGGCACAGAGTTGTCTTCATGGTGGGGGGGATGTCAATGGGCAACCCCCCGCCCCGTATTGCTGGTAATATCTATCCCCTGTACAGATGCCTTCCTGCACATGTGCGTCCTTCGCCATAAATTCCTAGACACGGAACTCCTGAGTAAAACTGCCCTCCTTGGGGGTTCCAATCTGCCCTGTCCCAGTGTCCCCAGTCCCCAGCATCTCCTGCACAAGTTTCCTAGAGGGTGGCAGGGGGTCCCCAGCCTGGTTTTCCTGTGCTGAGGGCATCATCGGTTGTGCATTGCCCAGAGACATAGGCATGGGCTGAACTTGTTACTGGTGGAAACTGCTCAGAGATGGGCTCCTGGCTGAAACCCTATGCCCCAGCAAGAGTGCTTTAGGCCTCGGTCCCCCTCACCCCTGGGCTGGGGCCAGGGACCTCAACATCTCAGCCTCTGGCCACACTGTCCAAACTGCTCAGTCACTTCCTGCTGGTCCCTGTGTCCCTGAGTGTGACTAGATTAGGACTTGCTGCACCAAGATACACCACATCTGATCCCCTTTCCCACCCCTAGTTCATTTTTTCTTCCTTGATCCCCACCGCCTCCTTAGGGTCCTCCTGCTCCCAGTCACAGGCCCCCCCACCATCATGGCCCAGTACTGACCACACAGGGCTGAGCTCCCCCCCCAGTTCACAGCTCCTCAGGGCAGGAATGTTGGAGGCTTCTCTAGGCCCTGGACGGGAATGGGGGGGCGGGGTTATGTGCAGGAGAGAGGAGTACTCTCCTCTCTGAACCTCAGTTTCTTCATCTGCATAGTGGGGCCCCCATCAGAATGTAGGAATGTGGAAGGGTCAGAGGAAGGTCAGCCCCTGGGAGGTGGTTCAGGTGGCCTTCCGACCTGGGCTGGCCTGGCTGCCTCCCTTGGGCTCATGCGTGGATGTGACCATCTCTCCCAGTCATATTTGGGGCCCCAGGCTGAGGTGGGGCCAGGGCAGGAACAGAAGGCACTTTGAGAACCGAGGATAGACATCTCCCAGAGAAAGCTGTGCCAGGCTCCCCTCAGATATTCAGGGCAGCACGTGGTCAGTGTCAGAGGTTCTGGCTAAGGCTCATACCTCCTCAGCTATCCCCAACAGACCCAACTCACAAGGTGCCTTCCTCTCTCTGCACCTCACTTTGTGCCTGCCCAAGGGGTCTTGCTGGGGCGTAGGTGAGGCAGTGAGAAGGCGGGGCAGCCCTCATAGAGGACCCGGGGGTTGGATGCATGTGCAAGAGGGAGGGGGATTTACCTTCTCTAACTTATGACCTAGAAGGCAGGACTCTAGTCTTGCCCACCAGAGAAAGACAAGAGGTTTCAGGAAGGGCCAAGAGCTCCTGTTGGGGGATGTGACCTGGAGAACTGGGCTGCTGTGAGAACTGGAGCTGTGACTGTCTAGCAGGAAGTTTCCACTTGGCCTACAGAGGCTTCCTGGGCAGGACAGGGGCTGGTGGGGGTGCTGCAGCCTGAGACTTCCTCCCCATCTTACTGGCCCAGCACTTGTACCCCGTGAGGCACCTCTGCCCGACAAAGTGGCCCCAGCCACCAGGCCACCTTAGGTCATCTGTGGGCCTCTCACAGGCTGGCTGGGGGCAGGGGCTAGTTTATCTCACTGGGCCTGTCTACTCCTCCGCCTGTACTCAGGAAGCTGGGGGTGGGGGTCCAGCAGATAGGAAGCCCAAGGCCAGTTGGCTGAAGTCCAGAGTAGCTGGCACCCAGCCCCAATAGCATGTGGGCACTCCTGCTGCTGTGGCCCCTGGCACTGGGATTCAGCCGTGAAGGTGGCAGCCAGACACCCAGTATCTACGATGAAGGCGAGAGCACAGGAGGAGAAGATGGTGAGTGATCCCAGGTGCTGCCTTGGTACTAGGAGGGCATTATAGATGGGCAGGAGGACACGGGGGGCTGGGGGGCCCTCCAGCCTAGCCCTGAGCCCAGTGGATGGGGGTTTCCATGTCCAACTCTGTTCGACCAACCTGGGGGTTCCTGAGAGCTGGGGCCTGGACTGCAGCCCCTGGGGGCCACCATCCAGCAGGAGGGCTAGTCGAAGGGCGGGGGATGATGCCTGGGTTCTCAGCACCTCCATCCCCCTTCCCTCCCCCAGATGGCATGCTGGGACCTTGGAACAAGCCCCAGGGGGCAACAGTTTGCCCCCTGGAGCTTGAAGGCCGCCCTCGCAGCTTCCCCGGCTGGCCCTGTGCCAACAACAGCAACATCCTGGAGCTTTGGGACACCTCTCGGGCGCTGCTGCTAGGCTGGGTGCCCACAAGGCTGGTGCCCGCTCTTTACGGGCTGGCCCTGGTGGTGGGGCTGCCTGCCAATGGCCTGGCACTGTGGGTGCTTGCCACGCGAGTACCTCGGCTGCCATCCACGGTGCTGCTCATGAACCTGGCGGCTGCCGACCTGCTGCTGGCCCTGGCCTTGCCACCCCGCATCGCCTACCATCTTTGGGGCCAGCACTGGCCCTTTGGGGAGGCCGCCTGCCGTCTGGACACAGCCGCACTCTATGGCCACATGTACTGCTCGGTGCTACTGCTGGCTGCCATCAGCCTGGACCGCTACCTGGCCGTGGTACACCCGCTGCGGGCCCGCGCACTGCGAGGCCAGCGCCTGGCCACTGGGCTTTGTGTTGTGGCCTGGCTGGTGGCGGCCACCCTGGCGCTGCCCCTGGGACTACAGCAGCAGACCTTCCGGCTGTCACACTCGGATCATTTGCTGTGCCACGACGTGCTGCCCATGGGCACCCAGGCCTCCTACTGGCGGCCCACCTTCATCTGCCTGGCGGTGTTCGGCTGCCTCCTGCCCCTCCTGGCCATGCTGCTCTGCTGCGGGGCCACCCTGTGTTCGCTGGCTGCCGGCGGCCGGCGCTACAGCCACGCGCTCAGGCTGACTGCGCTGGTGCTGGCCTCCGCCCTGGCCTTCTTCCTGCCCAGCAACGTGCTGCTGCTGCTGCACTACTCAGATCTGGGCCTGGGGGCCTGGGGGAATCTGTACGCTGCCTACGTGCCCAGCCTGGCCCTCAGCACCCTCAACAGCTGCGTGGATCCCTTTGTCTACTACTATGTGTCGACCGAATTCAGGGAAAAGGTGCGGGAGGGGATACTCCACTGGGTGCCTAGTTCCACCGTGGCCTCCAGGGAGGAGGGGAGCCCAGGGACGGGAACCAGGTTTTCATCGCTTGTGTGACAGCCCCTCAGGAGGCAGGTCAACGAAGAGGGGTTGTACTGGGTTGAATAGGGACTCCCCCCAAATTCATGTCCACCAGGAACCTCTAGTGAGCTTGTTTTTAAATAGCGTCTTTGCAGGTGTAATTAGTTAAAATGAGGTCACACCTGGGTAGGGTTGGCCCTAAGCCTTATATGACTGATGTCCTTTTAAGAAGAGAGAGACACAGCAGGGGAAGGAGGTCATGTGACCATGGAGTCAGAGATCGCAGCCTCAAGCTAAGAACACCAAGGGTTGCTGGCAGCCTCCAGAAGCCAGGAGAGCAGCCTGCGGGGGGACGACTTTCCCTTAGGCCCTCCAGAAGGACCCAACCTTGCCAACACCCTGATATTAGACTTCTGGCCTCCAGAATCGAGACAATAAATTTCTGTTGTTTTAAGTCACCTGGCTTGTGGTACTTGGTTACAGCAGCCCCAGGGAACCAAGACAGAAGTTAAATGCAGATTCCCAAGCCCAGCTAGCTCCCTCATGTCCAAGGTGGGGATGTGACAAGGGTAATGTTGCCCTGGACCTGCTGGAGAACCCCGCCCAGGGGAAGGTTCAGGCCCTCCCACCCCCTGGTGGCCCAGGCAGTGGGAATCTAGTTAGGGGTTCTTGTTCTCAGAAGCCCAGCTTCCGGCTCCAGGGTGTCTTCTGAGCAATCACTGTGGAAACCCCGACTCTGCTCCCCAAAGCCTCATGCAACCCATCATTAGGAGCCACAGGGCTCAGTCTCCTGCTGTCCCCTGGTTGCAAGGTGTCACCTCTTCCCTTTAACCTGACTTCCAATTTCTCTTCTCATTTGTTGTTAATTCCCCACTAAAGGGAGAATGCTGTGCCTGGGGCAGGCGCCTTCAGTCTCTGACCCCCGCCCCAGCTGTTTACAGCCTATTCTGAAATGAGTGAGAGGAGGACACCAGGTGGAGAAAGGCAGCTGCCACTCTCCTCCTCCTCTTAGGAGAGCAGCGTGGGTTGTCAAGAGCTGTTAAGCCATCAATTGTGGGGTCAGCAAACTTCCTAAGGCAGAGTTGGAGTGGGGGTCATTCCTGGATTCACACTGAGCCTATGTCTCTGGTCTGGGGAAAAATGAGCTGGTGAGGGAGCAGCCCAGGGACACACACACACACACACCTGGGGAAGTGTAAGATCAGCAAAGTGTTTCAATGCCAGTAGCCTGGTGTGTACTAGTTTTCTAAGATGTTACCACTAGGGGAATCTGGGTGGAGGTACTAGGAACTCTCTGTATTGGTGTAATTTCTTACAAATACACGGGAACCTAATTATCTTGGGGCGCACGTGTGCAACACCCTCCTCCCCACCCTGCTCTGAAAGGCTGGGCAGTTGATGAAGGAACAGAGGCCTGGGGGCCAGATGGGAACTGGGGCTTTAGCTTTTGGGGATGCTCCCCGAAGGCCAAAACCTGCCAGTGACTCTGTGGAAACGAGCTTTTATTATACCAGCAGCCTCTAGTGATTGGAATACAGGGCTTTGGCCAGTGAACTGTCCCTTGTAGACTGGCAGGGGTCAGGGGCATGGGAAACTGCTGGTGCTGCACAATGGTTACCTCATGGGTCGGGGCAGCCACCTCAGGTCCTGGAGGGGTCTCTGTGCTGCTCTGAATGTTGGTCTGAAATAAATACCACATGGGGGTGGGGGTGGGGTGGGGAGACAGGCGGATGTGAGAGGTTTACAGAAATGAATCAGACCACAGCTGGAGAGTCCTGGCAGGAAGGCAGGTCTGAGCGTGAGGCTTCAGTGGGTTGTGGAGCTGGGTCACCCTCCCTTCCCTGGGGCTTCAGAGGGGAATGGTCCTCCAGGTGGGGTGCCGGGGAACCTGGGGTTCAGGGGATGAGGCTTTCACAGCAGTAAGATCCAGATGCATCTGCCCAGGACTAAACAGGCACCCCTGGGGCAGGACTGGGGCACAGTGTGTGGAGACTGCAACAGTCCTGGCACAATTCCAGGTCTGGGGAGGTGCTCAGTGGCTGGGGTTTCCCAAAGGGAGGCTGGGGCTTTGCATTTTGGAGAAAGGCAGCCTGTTTCATTTTGAAGTTGCTGATGAGGGCATGGATGCTACGTCCTTGATTTGTCCAGAGTTGTGTCTTCTCAGAAATAGCCCTTAGACCATGAGTTCTTCCCAGAAACACCCCTTCTCCCCAGAGCAGAATGTCCAGCTGAGGGAACTGCTCTGGTCCGCAGAAAAGGAATGCCCCGCCCCGGATGGAGGCTGGGGTGCCTAGCGCTCCGGCTGCAGCTGGGGAGTTGGTGGGGGCAATGGGTCTCCAGTCACCCCCACAAATGCCTTCCCTCCTGTGGAGGTGGGGGTTGGCCCCCAGGAGGCCAGTCATCCATGGGGCAGGTCAGGACTCTGTGGTTCTGTTTGTAGGGTTCATTTGGAGGTGGGGGCCACCTGGGGCGGGGTCCACCAGCCCACCAGGCAATCAAGGGAGCTCCGCAGTCAGTGGCCTCCTTCCCGGGGAGCAGACGGGAACAGGAAGCAGCCAGATCCGGTCCTGCTCTGAGCGTTAGGAAGAGAAGCCACTCTGACTGGTGGGGAGAGAAGATGAAAGACTGTGTGGGCTGCCAGGTCTTGAGGGGCCCTGTGTGCTCTTCCCTGACCTGGCCTCCACGTGGCTCAGCCCAGCTGCCCCCCCACTGAGACAGCAGAACCTCACCTAGGGGGCCCGAGCCCCTCAGGCCCCTGCCCACTCCTACTGGGCCACAATGATTGGACAGGGCAGTCACCAAATCGAAAAACTATCTGAGGACTTCAACTCAGCTGTGAAAAGGGAGGAACTGTTGATACACCCAGTCACACGACAGATCAAAAGGGAACTCTGCTGAGTAAGAAAGCCAATCTCGAAAGGTTGCATATTCTAGAGTTCCTTTGGCATAGCATCCTTAAATGACAAACTTACAGGGAGAACCAATGAGCAGCTGAGGAGGGGAGGTGGCGGCAGTGGTGAGGGTGGTTATAAAACAGCAGCAATAGGGATCCCTGAGGTGTCGAGCTGTTGTGTGTCTTGACTGGGGTCATGGTTACACAAATCTATACGTAAGGAAAACTTGCGGTCTCAATTGCAAATGAGCGCATGTGAAAGTGGTGACGTAGGAATAAGATGGGTGGACTGGCCCTGGCCAGGTGGCAACCAAAAGGTTGCGGGTTCGATTCCCAGTCAGGGCACATATCTAGGTTGTGAGTTCGAACCCCAGGAGGCAACCAATCCATGTTTCTCTCGCACATTGATGTTTCTTTCCTTCACCCTCTCCCTTCCCCTCTCTCTCAAAATCAATAAAAACATTTAAAAAAAAAAAGTTTAACAACCCCCCCAAAACAAAAACAAAAGCAGACCCCTTAGAAGGCACTGGAGAGAGCTGGCAGCTACCAAAGAGGGTGCCAACACTTGGGAGCATTTAAAGCTGCACTAATGACAATTACAGCAATGAAGGGGGGGGGTAAGGACAAAAAATGGGGAGACACAGCTTCAAGGGTGGTATATTTTTGGTGAAGTGGTACAATTCACCCCAAGTAGACTGAAAAATTTAAGGATATATATTGTAATCCCCAGAGCTACCACGAAAAAGATAAGGTTAAAAGGACACTAGCTAAATTAAAATGGGACTCTAAAAAAATATATTCAATTAATCCCAAATAGAATATGAAGGGAGAAACAGATGGGGCAAAACAAAAATATTCCAACAGTAGCCCTAAACCCAGCCTTTTCAATAATTATATTAAATACAGGTGGGATGACGAACACCTGAAGCTCTGGGACTTTGGTGGGTGCTGATGGAAAAACATTCTTGCTGGGTTTACTGAGGAGGGTTGGAAGCAGCCTTTGACACTGGCATGGGGGTGGCTAAGATCCTCTTTGAGGGAGTCAGGGCTCAGAGGACAGAGCCTGAGGCCTGCTGGTACAGCCGGCCCCAAGGACCTGACACATAGCTGAGCTGATAAATCAACCTATTGCTATACGTCTTGAGTTGAGTTTGCTGTTAACTTACAGCCAAAAGATAGGCCCCTTCCAGGGAGTCTGCTCACCCCACAAGGCTCTCGGGTCTGACCACTTCCACTGGGTTGACAAAGATTCTCTCCCTGACCAAACTCCTCTCAGGCTCCTCTGGGCCTTTTCAACTAGGTCTCTAGTTTTGGACTGCTGTGTTCATCTTGGTGCGGTCCAACTGGAAGAAGCCGCCAAATCGGTTTAGCCAGAGTCCCCACCCTACATAATTGATCACTTTCGTACCCAATCAGGATCCTGCCCTGCCCCCCATCTACCATCTGCCCCCCAGGGGATAATGTCTGATCACCCAGCTTGCCCTCAGCAAAAATCCTGTCAGGTTGGTTTAGTCAGGTTCCCCCTTACCCCTGACATTTCATCTTCGTAATTTTCCACCCACCGCTGCCTTGCTCCTTGGCCATAAATCCCCACTTCTTGTATTTGGAGTTGGGTCCAATCTCTCTCCCCACTGCAAGACTCCCTCCACCTAATAATCCTTCCTTGAACAGCGCTTTCTTTGTGTCCTGAGTATTTTCTTGAACAGTGGTCCCGAGCCCAGTGGGTCTCAGGGACAGGTCTGTGTTGGGGTCTAGTCCTCCAGAGGGCTCACACAGCCTCATCCTGCAAGACGGGCTGTTCTCTGATGTGTGGGTGGGGGAGATGGGATCCTCACTTTGTCCTGGAGACCCAGAACGCTGACCCCTCCGTTGTCACTCCTACACTCTGCCTGGGTCCAGGGCTAGTGGAAGAGGTTGGGGGCAGACCCAGCTCTCACCTGTCCTCTGCCTCCCCCTCCAAGTCCATGGCCTCATGGCTGACTGACAGGTGCCCAGGGTCCAGGGGGACCGGGTCATAGTTGTAGTTATAAGCAGAGGCTGGCGTCGGCTGCTCTGGAAAGAAGGGGGACTTAGTAGGTAAAGGGTGCTGGAGGGGGAGGACTTGATGGTACACAGCCCAGAGGGACCAAGGAGAGGAGGTGTATGGCCCAGAGCAACAGAGAGGACATGAGAGGTCATGAGAGAGCGGAAGGATACAGAGGTCAGAGGTGGGGAGATGCAGAAAGGCTCAAAGTTGGGGTGGGGGTGGCAGGAGATTTAACACGACTGAGAAGGGGATGCAAAGAGACCCAGAGGCTAAGAAGCTGAGATGGGGGAGGACAGGAAGCCAAAGGAGCAGAGAGATGGAGACTGGGTGGTAGACAAAGCCACAAATAAATGGGAAAGTTGGAGGGAGGNATTTAACACGACTGAGAAGGGGATGCAGAGAGACCCAGAGGCTAAGAAGCTGAGATGGGGGAGGACAGGAAGCCAAAGGAGCAGAGAGATGGAGACTGGGTGGTAGACAAAGCCACAAATAAATGGGAAAGTTGGAGGGAGGTGGGAGAGCCTGGTTCAGCAGGGGGAGGAGAGACACAGACCCATGCGGTGGGGAGGGGCAGGAAGCGAGGGACAGAGTTGGAAGTAGCGAAATGGAGAGAGAGAAAAATAAGTGGGAAGAGAGATT